CAATTGCCCTCACCTCAGTTCAAGTCCTAATACAGACACACACACACAGACACACACACAGATGAGACAATTGTGTCAAAAACTAAAGTTATAAAATATGCATGCCCTTTATATAGGTTCCTATAACAAATTAAACAAGTGTAAAAAATCAAGGTACACCAGTCATACAACTTCTAGGCATCTACCCTGAACAACAGGAACCAATATACAAGGACATGTGCACCTCCATGTTTATTGCAGCACTGTTCACATTAGCTAGGATATGGAAACAACTCAGATGCCCCACCACAGATAATGGATCCAAAAATTGTGGTATCAATGGAATATTATGCAGCCATTAGAAAGGACAAAATAATGGCATTTGCAGGGAAATGGATGGAGCTAGAAGGAATCATGTTGAGCGAGGTAAGCCAAGAGCAAAGAGACAAACGGTACATGGTCTCCCTGATAAGTGGATGCTAAATCCAAAATGTTAGGTGATACGACAAAACTAACAGGACTTAAGAGACAAAGAACTCCCACTCATCTGGTTGAACCACTACTAAATATCCCCACGCTGCTGATCACATGTATGGTGTATATGTGTACACAGTTATATGTTATAGACTGTGATAGACAATTTGCTCCAGGAAAGTTAGAATGAACTTGTGACTTTAAATAAGCATCATTATTCCACAATACTGTGAAATTTGGGAAATTATGTAATCACTTAATCACAATTAAAAAAAAAAAAAGAACCTCGGGGAAGGTAGGGAGGGAAGGGAGGGATGGTAAGGGGAAAACAATGGAGGGGGTAACAATGCTCAATAGGAAGTGTACTCATTACCTTACTCATGTAACTGTAACCCTCTGTATAGTATCTTTACAATAAAAAATTTAAAAAATTTTTAAAAATTAAAAAAAAAATCAAGGTACAGCCGGACGCTGGTGGCTCACGCCTGTAATCCTAGCTACTCAGGAGGCTGAGATCTGAGGATCACGGTTCAAAGCCAGCCCATGCAGGAAAGTCCGTGAAACTCTTATCTCCAATAAACCACTAGAAAACAGGAAGTGGCACTATGGCTCAAGCGGTAGAGTGTTCGCCTTGAGCTGAAGAACTGAGGGATAGTGCCCAGGCCCAGAGGTCAAGCCCCACGACAGACAAAAAAATAAAAAATTAAAAAATTAAAAAAAAAATCAAGTACACATGATAAACTAAGAGCTCCACCTTGTGGCCCTATCCACCTACCAGGAAGATAGTCCACGCCTCCAGATGGGGAAATCACAAGCATGGCCCAGAGATGGAAAATGATGCTTGCAAGTCACAGAGATAGAAGCAGACCTAACCAGGACTAATCTAAGAGTTCCCCCACCCATCTTCCACTGCTCCAATCTCATCTGTGAATCCTGTGCTGCTGAAAAGGAGCTGGAGGATTGGAGTGTGACTCAAGTGGTAGAACACCTGCCTGGCAAACATGAGGCCCTGAGTTCAGACCTTAGTACCATCAAAACAAAGGAGCTGAAAGACCCCTCAGATCATATAAGATTCTAACATCTCTGACTTTGGCTGAGGAAGGGGTAGCTCAAGAGATCCTAGTGTAGCCAGTTTCAGGTAGCTCAGCCCAAACCCAGCTAGGTCAGAAACTTGCTCGTCCTTTTTTTTCCACTTCCTTCCCTGCCCAGCTGAGCAATGCCTACTTAACCCTTCAAGTCTAACTTCGATGACTCCTGGTAGGTCTTCCCTGGACCAGCTTTTATCTTGCTTCCTCTCTAATGGGGCTCCAACAGCTCAGCTCCCTCTCCCCTCAGAGTCCCATCAACATACAAACATGCTTTCCTTACTCCTCTCTGATTAAAATTTAACCCCCAGCCCCAATCTGCCATTGGTCTATTCCAATCAGGACCTAACCCCCCCAAAAGGGCTGTTTAAATTTGCCTCACCTGAGTACACTTGTCATTCTCCAGAAACCCGATATTTTGCCCTACTTTTACATCAAAACCACATCTATCAGCCAGGCACTGGTGGCTTACAGCTATAACCCTAGTTACTCAGGAAGCTGAGATTTGGGGAGGAAGGTTTGAAGCCAGCTGAAAGAGCAAATTCTGATATTTCTCTTTCAAATTAACCAGCAAAAAAGCTGGACTAGAGGCTTGGCTCAAGTGGTAGAGCATCAGCTATAAGAGAAAAAAACAAAAACAAAACAAAAAGCCCCCCAAAAAACAAATAAAAAAACAAAAAAGAAAGAAAAAAACAAAGCTAGAACACAAGATGCTTAGTACACATATACACACACTAACAGCAGCTTCCATCAAAACCTCCAGCATTCAATTTGAAATCCAGTAATTGATTCTTAGTTCTCATCTTCCTTGAATTCTCAACAGTGTTTGACAAGCTGGTTACTCTCACGTAATGCTTTCTCAAGTGGCCTCTAGGAAAACATTTTCTTCATGTTGACTATTCCTTCTGAGGTTCTATGACGGCTTCAACTTTCTCCTGTTGTTTTTCTTTTTTGTATTTGAACTCAGGGCTTCATGTTTGCTCAACTTGCTTGCTCTGCTGGTGCTCTAGCATTTGAGGGAGCCCTTAAGTCTAGCTTTTTGCTGGTTAGTTTTGGAAATGGAATCTCAAATTTTCCTTCTTGAGGTAGTTTTGAATCATAACCCTCTGAATCTCAGCCTTCAGAGTTGCTAGGATTACAGGTGTGAGCCACTAGTGCCTAGCTCATTTCTCCATTGTTTAATGGCAGGCAGTCCTGTCCCAGGGCTTAGTCCTCAGACAGCTTCTCAATCTATCTGGCCCCAGGTGACCACATCCTGTCCTATGACTTTGAGTGGCTCTATACAGCATGACTGTCACATGTGACTGATTTTAGAGATATGATCAGTCATCTCCTTGATATCTTCATTCAGATGCTTACCTGGTATAGAAACAAACTCTCAATTTCCTCTCTAGCTATGGGCCATTCTTCCTGATGCTAAAAACCTTTCAGTATCCTGAAGGCTTCTTTCTCCCTCTCTTACATCTGTTTCCTCAGCAAACTCAACTGGCTCTACTACAAATGAGAACTAGAACTTGGGCCTTTCTCACTAGCTCTACTTTATTATCCTCATTCAAGCTATCATCAGCTCCCAAATGGACAAGGACAGCAGCCTCTTCACTCCATCCCTGCTTCTTCCTGGCCCCAGCCAGACTGACCCTTCTAAAGTACTCAGAGTCCACTGCCCTAACTCTCCATGTTTCTAAGAGTAAAAGCCAAAGCCCTTGCAAAGAGTCTGGGGACTGGCCTACCATACTGCCCATGTTAATTCCCCTGCTGGGGAAATCAAGCACTCTATGTGTGACTCTCCTGGGAGAGAACTCTGGAAGCTGGTTTCCCTGGACTTGGGCCCCAAGTACTTTTTCCTTTATGACTTTGCTTTGTACTTTTTCTCCATAGAAATCATAGCCATGAGCATGACTACATGCTGAGTCCTGTGGATCTTAGCAAATTGTCAGTCATGAATACAATAACATGTTGTATTTTCTAATGAGTACTCAGACCAATGGCAGTTTGGGGAATACTAGACATCTGGTCTACCATTCAGAAGCCTGCAGATTCATTAGGCAAAGTTGTACATGTTTTTAACCCTAACTAGTCAAGAGGATGAAGCAGGTAAATCACAAGTTTGAAATCATCTTGGGCAATTTAATGAGACCCTACCTTAAAACAGAAACAGAAAAAGAAAGAAAAGTCTGAGTGTGTAGATTTTTAGCATGCAAGAGACCTGGAGTGTTCAATTTGCATACTACAATTAAAAAAACAAAACATATAACACACAGACAGATCAAAGACATCAACTCCTCTTTGGGACCACCAACTGTGGAAACTGTGTGGTTGTAAACTAGATAGGGGGTCACTTGTTTGGATGTCCACAGAAAAGCCCATTCTGAAGAGATCAACTGAATCACTGCTAATCAAGTGTTCCCCCACCTCATTACCACCATTGCATCTGACTGTGTCACTGCTTTTGATTTGGCAACATGCCTACTCCAGGGACAGGCACAAAGCAAAAGAATGATTTCTAGCTCAACTACCAGAGTCTCTGGTAAGAATGGTGAGTCATTAAGATTATGACCATGTGGCTGAGTATACTCTGTGCTGAGTATTCCTGCAGGTGTCAACATGAACAAAGACGGGAAATATAGTGGGTCTCTTCTGTGTTCTAAGACAGTCTCTCAATTCCTTTGCCAAGGCTGACCTTGCATTCCTGGGCTAAAGTGATTCTGTTGCTAAGCTCCCAAAGAGCTGGAACTAAAGGCAGGTACTACACACCAGGCTAATTTGTCTCTAAAAATCAGGAGTAAAATTATACTGGTTCAACTTATATCTGACCCCCTTCTGTGAGAGGAGGGGCAATTGGTGTGAAGGTGAATCTCTCAGAACTGATAGGACATATGGGTTTGGCAGCAATAATCTCAGCACTCAGACTCAGAAGGCGCAGGAACAATGAATGCTTTGTCCTTTAGCACTAGCATCACCCCCTGCCTGAGCTCAGTGGCAGCTGCCACTGCCACTCATTTGCAGGATGTGTCACTCCCATCCTGGAAAGGGGAAAAGCCAAACATCTACAACCAGTACTGAACTAACTATTCTGCTGTGCCTGACACTATCCAACGCAGCCTCTGAAGGTGACCCTATGTAATAGCATAGGATGTTACAATCTGACAGATCCAAATTTATCTTCTGTTCCTGGTGATCGGGCAGCCTTGGATTATACAAAGTATGGCAACTGAGGCACTGATACTACCCTCAGGGTTCAGCCAAACACACAAGGTGACTCAAATAATAAAGTGAGAAAGAATAAGCCATGAGATGTCTTTTCATGGAGAAGAGCAGTGGCTTGCCCGAAAGCTGCCAAGAGTATGTTTTTTAGACCCAGAACCAGGAAGGTCTGGCTTTGATTCTAAAGCCTCATGTTCCACCCTAAGCTCCAGCCTCTGCTGGTCAAACATCCCACAGCCACAGGCCCCAGAAACTCACCTCTGCGCGGCCTACTTTAAATGGGTTCTGGAAATTGGAGTCCTTCTCGCTGATCCCCAGCTCCTGGGCCATCTGCAGATGAAGGAAAGCTAGTCATTCTGTGCTTTCTGCTTCCTGTTTACCAGGGAGCCACTACTACCATGCGGGACTTGAATCCCCAACCTTAGCAAATACAGGCCAAATGATGACCTCTAGGAAGCCAGGTTGGCATGGAATCTCTTGAAATGAGGCTTCCTTCCACAGCCGAAAGTGGTCTGAAGCTTATCACAGAAAATGTAACCAAGGGGCTGGGAAGGTGGCTCAGTGGTAGAGCGCTTGCCTTGCATGCCTGAGGCTCTGGGTTCGATTCCTTAGCACCACATAAGCAAAAAGAAAAAAGGCGGAAGTGGCGCTGTGGCTCAAGTGGTAGAGCGCTAGCCTTGAGCTGAAGAGCTGAGGGACAGCGCCCAGGCCCAGAGTTCAGGCCCCAAGAACGGACCCCCCAAAAAAAGAAAAAAAAAAAAAAAGAAAACATAACCAAGTACTGGGCATGGTAGCCAGCACCATACCTTGCATCCTCATCTGTAAGGCTACCACTTGAGAGGCTAAGGCAGAAAGACTGAGTTTAAGGCCAACCTGGTCTATATAATGAGACCCACTCTCAAATAAACACACACAAAAAGCTAAGCACTGACAGAAGGCTCCCGGGCCTCATACACCCCAGTCCTTACCAGGCTCAGGATAGGTGAGTGGGGTCCCTGGTCAAAGACACCTGTCTGGTTACAGAAGCTGATGCCCCAGCGGATGAGCAGGTTCCAGTTGGAGTTGTGGTCAAAGTAATGGTGCACAATCTTGGGAAAACGCAGCACCACATCGCCGAAGAACGCCGTGTTTTCCACCACATGGGAGAAAGCTGGCAAGAGGACCTTGGTGAGTCGTTGGGGTCTCTGTCCTCCTGCTGCTGCCAGCTGACCCCAGGCCTCCAGGAAATGGAGGTACCCACCAAACCCAAATCAGAGAAGGGAATAGCATCCACTGACACCCACAGATTATTAACCAACCTACAGAACTTAGTGAAATTTTACCAGTCTTCCCACTCATGTTCTTCTCTAGTCAACTAGTTCTGGCAGCACTGGGATTTGAACTCAGGAACTTGCTAGAATGCTTTCTACCACTTATATCAAGCTTCCAGCCTCAACAGGTCATGTTAGACCAAGGCTAGTTAGTGTTCATAGCTGTAGCAAGTGCCTCACTGAACATAAATAAGCATGTAGCTGGCTCCAGAAACAGAGATGTCCCATGCAGTCCTCCCCAGCACTGACCAGGCATCCAAGGGAGATAAGCAGAGGCCAAACATATGCCAAGCTGGGTCTCAAGACAAGTGGAGAAGAGACCCCTGGGTTTCAGAATAACCATAACCTCAGGGGACTCAGAAGTTAGCTTAGTTCAGAGGGAAAAGCCAGAGCAAATCACTTGTCCTCTTCCATCTGGAAAATGGAGGAAATAGCACATGCTTCATAGTTTTAGGAAGATTAGAGATGACATTTTCAAAGTCATCCAATAGATTATTTTTAAAGGCTGCTTCCATCCTCTCCCAGTATAACCTAGAAAATATTATTGCTAAAATATAACCAGTTAATAGAGGTTAGAGGGATTACCACTGCTGAAGAGAAGTTCTTAGAAGAGGGAATGAAGCCATACTACATTTTACTGTCATGTTTTTCTTACCCTGTCTAAAAAAGCATTTAAGCTAGGCACTAGTGGCTCATGCTTGTAATCCTAGCTTCTCAGGAGGCTGAAATCTGAGGATCAGATCTCAGTTCAAAGCCAGCAGTTCAAAGCCAAACCAGGAAAGTCTGTGAAACTCTTATCTCCAATTAACCACCAAAAAAGCTGGAAGTGGAGCTGTGGAGTTGTAGAGTGCTAATCTTGAGCAATAAAGCTCAGGGACCATGCCCAAGCCCTGAGTTTAAGCCCCAGGACTGGTACACACACTCACGTGTGCACACACACATGCAGGTATACTCACACACACAAAAGCAATTAATCAGGCTGAGCCTTTTAGGGTAGTAGCAATGACTGCTAGTAATTACACCCTTTGGCTCAACTGCACTAACAGTCATTTACTTTTTCTCCTTCAAAAGGGAACAGTTGCTGCCTTCCTTACCAGAAGAAGTTGACCAACAGAGGAACTGATGTTAGGAAAGCAACAGATCAACAAGATTCTAGTGCTTTCAAATTTCTCTATTACTTGAACTAAGTCTATACTTCAGAGCTCATCCATTAACATTAAACCTTTTGGATTTAAAAGTTGATTTATTTCCCTAGGGCCCAATGATGATGGGCAGAAGCTCCTCCCTGGCTTCCCTACCCTAAGCATAGGACAGCATAAAGGAGTATGTGTCAAGAAAAAGAAACTAGCTCTGAAACCTAGAAAGAACCTTGAAGAACCACAGACTATGCTCTAATCTACCAAAGGAGACCTCTTAGAAGACTCCACAAGATGGCACTCCAGGGAAAAAATAATAAAAACAAAAGAGGAAGCCAGGTACCAGTGGTTCATGCTTGTAATCCTAGCTACTCAGGAGGCTGAGCTCTGAGAATCTGTTAGAAACCTAAGCAGAAAAGTCCAGGAGAACCTGGGAATATGGCTTAGTGGCAGAGTGCTTGCCTAGCATGCATGAAGCCTTCAGTACACAGAAAAGAAAAGAAAAGGGAAGGGATGGAAAGGAAAGGAAAGGGAAGGGAAGGGGGAAGGGGGAAGGAGAGAGAAAGAGAGAGAGAGAAAAGAAAGAAAGAAAGAAAATCCAAGAGCCTCTTATCACCCAATTAACCAACAAAATGCTGGACTAGAGATATGGCTCAAGTGGTAGCACATGATCCATGACCAAAAAGCCAAGTAGGAATGCAAGGCCCTGAGTTCAAGCCCCAGTATTGACACAATAAATACATACATACATACATACATAAATAAAAGAGCGACTAGAGAAAAGCAAAGTAGTGGAGCCAAAAGGGGAAGGTTAGAGACACCATACCATCCTTCAGCTTCTCATCCTGGGGGAAAGGCCCATCTGGAAGTACATCAGCAGCAATGAGTACTGTCCTGGAATCCTCCAGCACCTGAGGAAACCCCACCTGGGTTGAGTGGCTTTGTAGAGCCCTTTATAGCCCCAGGCTCATTTACTTGAATCCCGCTTCAAGTTTTGTCTCTCTCACCAAATATCAGCCCTTTAGGGAACTTCTACCTATTTAGTGCCCACATCAATTATCTGGACTGCCACAGGCTGCCCCCTGTCCCCAAACACCTTAAAAAGTCCTTTAAGCATGATGTCGAGGATCTTGTATTGCTGGTGAACATCATTCAGCTGCACCAGGTTCTTCAGTGCTGACAACTGCTCCCGACGTTTCACTTCAAACATTTTCTTATCTGGGTAGTTTAAGTTAAGGAACTGACATGATAGCCCTGCCCAGACAATCCAGTGTCCAGACCCTGAGGACCCATTCCTAACCAGCCAATATTTGTAAGTAGGATCCCTAAGGGAAGAGTTATTTATTTAAAAAAAAAATTAAGTTGGGTACCATGACTCATGCCTGTAAAACTAGCTACTAAGAAGGCTGAGAGCTGAGGCTCAAGGTTCAAAGCCAGCCCAGGCAGACAGGTCCTAGAGACTCTTATCTCCAACTAACCAGCAAAAAGCAAGTAAGTGGAGGTATGGTTCAAACCAGCCTTGAGTGACAAAGCCAAGCAGAAGCATGAGGCCCTTAGTTCAAGCCCCAGTACTCATACAAAAAAAATTTTTTTTGTACTCAGTGCCTTACTCTGCTTAGGCAGGTGCTCTCCCATAGGAGACACACCTCCACCCTTTAACGTGTACAGGTCCTCCAATGAATTATTTATCTAGTTCCCAGTGGACCCAGTAATCTGAAGCCAACTTTTCAGGACCTGGCTTCATTTCAGTGTGGCCTTCCTGCTGTCTCTCACAATCATTGTTCCAGTGAACCCTCATTGATCAGTTCACACAGTACCTTCTTGCCTGGAAGGTAAGATCCAGCTTATAACCCATAGCTCAGTGTAACTTCCAATCTCTCTTGCATCCATCATGGCACTGAGGACTGAGTGCAAAGACCATTGGTTTGGATGGTGTCTCAAAATTTGGGACTGGTCCTCACTCACCTTTGAATTCTTGAGGCCTTGCCCAGAGGATGTGGCCCAGTGCAACCTATTCAAGATGAAATAGCAGCATTCCAGTTCCTGAGACCTATCTGGGGGTCTTGCTGAAAAGGCACTAGACATAATTATAGTTCTTACTGAGTCTTTGAGAATCAGAGAGATGTTTGCCTTTTCTATTTAACATATAGTAAAACAAAGTCAGAAGAAAACTGACTTATTCAAGGTCTTGTTGGCGTGCCTAATCTTTTCTCCCCTATTCCCACCAGCTGGGTCTGCTCATTCCTGGAATCCCTCATGGAGTGGGGATATAGAGAGACCTCCTTTATTGACTCTTCACAGACAGCTCACTAATCCCACCACAAGTCCCAAAAGATACAAATCTTGAGGCTTGGGTTCAAGGGCTTCAGGGTGCCTGTGGTGTCTGTTCCAGACAGCAGGAGAAAGAGACAGGCTAAAAACTGAAGAAAGTCCATATCTAAGACCGTGGAGCTAAAGAAATAATCCAAAGAGGAGGAATGACTTAGAGGTTGATGTTATATAACACAGGATGCAGAGAACGGCTACTTCCACTGACATGGTATCATCTCCAAACACCTAGGACTCAACTTTGGGCCACCCTGAAGATCCAGCCCAGGGCCGGTGGCCAGCAGTTACACAATGAAAACCCATGGAATGACAGGAGGAGGAAGGAATTTAAATGTTAACAATGCTTACAGCACAGGGGCGGAGGATCTAGAGCTATGTCGGTGCTCTGATCTTACTGTACTACTGGGGAAAACTGTCAGCTCACTAAATCTTAGCTTCCTTGCTTCCACAGGACTGAAGAAGTCACCTTTCTGCTGCAAGGGATTAAGTCTGGGTGAAGTGCCTGGCCTATCCTGACCTCCAGGGAAGGTATCAGGTCAAGGAAGCCCAGGCAGTAAGAAGGTACAGAAAACTCCTGTTATTTCCCTCCTTCCCTAACTTGCCATAAAAGTACAAAGAAGGGTATAGAGTGGGAAGGGAAGTAGGACAGTTGGTGGGAACTTGCTACTCACTCACTTTGGGACCACATGCAACACCTGCTTCTATTCAGGCATCACTCCATAATTGACTACCACAGTTCCAGGCGCTCATCTAGTGGCCCCTGGCTTCTAGTGACAGCTGCCCTGTGATGAAATCCAACTTTTACCACAATGAAAACAACTAAGCCACAGAAGAGTGAGGTGAATGCCCAGAGTCACACAGCTATTTCCAGACTAAACCTGTATGCCTCTTGGTTCTGTGCTCTTCCTTTTCTTCCTCTTCTTCTTCTGTGCTCTTCCTCTTCTTCTTTTTTGGTTATTTAGCCAGGATCTATGTAAACCAGCTGGCCTCAAATTCTGGGTACCCTTGAGGTGGCCTCCCAACTGCTGGCATTACAGGCGTAAGCTGTCAAACAGCTTCCTGTCTTTCTAAAAGAGCATAAGCTACCTCAGATCACAACTGGCTACTCAGGTACCATGACACCCACCCCAGAAGAGATGGCCAGTTACAGACCGTGCGAGGCCACAGAGGTCAACCAACCCCTGTCCTTTAGCAGAGGAGACAACTAAAATCTGGGAGAAGGACCCCAAGTCCACCCAAGACCCTTCTATCTTCCACCGTCACCAGGCTATAGAGCAAAACTTGAGAAGTGGGGAGAGAGTGGTAGCAAGGTATCAGACATCTGACGAAGACTGGAGCCGGAGAAGGGTGGGGGAAAGAGAGCCAAAAAAGCAGACGCGAAGGGGTCCATTCGGCTTTCTCGATAGTAACTTCTAGTTTTTGAGCCTCTCAAACAGACTCTTGTCCCGCGCGTCCCAGAGCTCTTTCCAGCTCGCGGGGGAGGCTGCACCATTCTACAGAAGAGATAGTGGCGGTGGCGGGCTCTCAGCAGGCTCCCAGAGGTCGCGGGCCCCGGGGGCCCTCGGAGAAGGAAGCGAAGTCTGTTCAAGGAGTTAAGGGTCCCAGTCCTGCAACACCACCCCGCATCCCGCACCCCGCTCGAGGCCCTCGGTCTCCGCACTCCCCTCCCCAGGAGCTTGCAGCCCCGCCACCACCTATCAGAGCGGGTGGTACGGGCGGGGGGGCAGGCGGGACGCCCCTTCTCTGCCCCTTCGTGCAAAGCTCAGCAGAAAACTCACCAGGCTAGCGCGAGACGCGTGGAACAGCGGAGCACCGGCTAACCGCTCCTAGAGACCGCGGGCAGCCGCCCCGCCCAGCGCCCGGCTCCCGGCCAATGACAGTGGGCCGCGACCGCCGCGCTCTGCTTACATCACTTCCTGCCCCGCCCACACCGCTGGGCCCCGCCCAGCCGGGCGCTGGCGCTGAGCCCTGAGGTTGTCAGCCACACGCCGCTGACAATCGCGGCTGGTCCTTAAAGTTGAGTTGGAGGAAGTAAAGCTGCTGTGGAATCTGTGCTCCATCTAAAGCCCGCGTCAGCAAACTATCAGCTGCAGGTGGGATCTAAAGCACGAGTCAGCAAACTGCAGCGCTAAGCCCTAGGGGCCGGGCCACTTTCGTCATTCATGAACGTGTTTTAATTGCAATTCACAAGATCATCTTGGCAGGTTGTAACTAGCACTAATTTTTTTTCCTTTTTTTTAAATTTTTTGTTTTTAAGAAACCAACACAGTCTGCAACATGGAGTATGGGCATCCCCTGCTTTCCCCTCTCGTCCACAACTCATAAACCAAGTTGTCTTTTCCGTCATTTAGTCCCAGTTTTGCGAAGAGTCAGGACAGCCAGATCCTAAGTGGACAGGTGGTGTGGTCAGTTAGGAATGATGGGACCCTTGCCAGAGGGAAAGTAACTAGAGCCTCAGACTGTGCTGACCTTTGAACAGGCCAGGACACAGTTGAGCTCAGACTTTCGTACCACCAGGCCAGTGGAAGCACACATGAAATAAGCACACATGAAATATGGGTATGTAAACAAACTGTGAGGGAAAGGAACAGAGGGGACCCACTTTAGCCAGGGAAGGCTGCATCCAGGGAAGTTTTCATCTGCTAGCTAGGCTGAAACATATTCAGCTTTCCTAGCCTTGTAATCATACCTTCCTCCACCTTCACTTTTAGCTACCAGCAGCTCCAATTCTAAGTCCTTCCATTGTCCTCCCAGCCCTAAGGACGGTGAGACACTCGTTCTATTTAGGTAGTGTTGCCATAACACATCTGCTGTCTCCCTGAAGTGATTCATCTCATCACTTGCTGAGACAGCCCACTCTCTTACTGGCTAAGAAACTGACCCCAAGGAAACAAGATGAGTTTAGAGTGGGAGCCCACAAATGTTTGTGAGTGTATCATTTTATTTCTGGATTCCATTTCCACAATGGAGTATATGGTCCCAGATGCATGGCTGAGACTGTCATCCATCTCTGCAACAATTATGCCCTAACTTTGTCTGCAGGTCTTATGGCTCTTAGTTTCTGGATCTCTTAAGTCATGAGGCTCAGTCTCTGATGTGGGACAGGGATACAGCTACCCCTCCCAGGCAGCTGATACCATACATGAGAGGAAAACACAAGAGATGGGTCCACCACAGTGGGGGAGAATCACACTTTCAGGGCCCCAAGAGGACAAACAGACAAACAAAAATAAGATGCTCGGGCTGGGAAGGTGGCTTAGTGGAAGAGTGCTTGCATACATGAAGCCCTGAGTTCGATTCCTCAGTACCACATAAACAGAAAAAGCTGGAAGTGGTGCTGTGGCTCAAGTGGTAGAGCACTAGCCTTGAGTAAAAAGAAGCTAAGGGATAGTGCCCAGGCCCTGAGTTCAAGCCCCAGGACTGGCAAAAAAATAAAAAAATAAGATGCTCCTGAAAAATAGCTGTGTAGATTCCAAAGTTGATACCTGAACACCTGAGTTAGGAAGGGGGAGAAAGGGAGGCAACAGTATTGGGTAGGAAGTTCCTTCAACCCTCCCCACACACTAATGTCTATGATGCATGGTAACTGGCTATAGCCCAGGCTGCTCTGGAACTCACTAGGCTGGACATAAACTCCCAATTCCCCTGTCTCAGCATCCTAAGTGCTTGAATGAGGCAGGCACCACTATGACCAGCGTCAATCAGGGGCTTTCTAAAGGACTCACTCGTCATCAGTCCTCACTAATTGGGCTAAGATGCCACAGCATCCATAGCCTGAGTGACCTTGCTCAGGCCAACGCTCCCAGATGCAAGAAAGGATACAGCATGTCCTGAAGAGGCTGGGCAGAAAAGGTACTAGGGGAACAGCCCTCCAGGGAGGCCTGCAGGGTCTGGGCTGTGTTGTGGTCAGTCAGAAGGCCCATGCTCTGCACCTGAGTGAAGAAAGTAGGTCCTCTCTAACGTCCCACTTCTGGAACTTCTGATTTCCGAATGGCACTTGTGGCCAAAACTTCCACCCGCCATGGAGAAGGTCCTCATGAGAGTCTAGTTTTATAAGGGCTTCATGTTGCTTCTTTCTACCCACCTGCAGGAAGAAGTTACGTAGAGCCCGGATTGTGGTATTTGAGAGGGTAGAAAAGTCCGCCAAAACTGCCGCTTCCAAAACTTGACCCACCTCTTCATGAGAGAAGACACTGCTGCTCTGGTACCGCACAAACTGGTCCAGAAAGAGAAGTCCAAATATTAAGTGATTGGAAGAGATGCCAGTTCCTGTGCCCTGTTGTGCTCAGCTCTGGGCTGGGAACACTGTTCTAAAGCCCACAGAACCCTGTCTTCAAGGTGGGTATGAGTAGAGTTGTATCAAAGGAAAATGACATATATGACACAGAGTGAGATCCTGAGAAAGCTGGCCTTACTGATTCCTTCAGCGCTGGCTTCCTCCTTCCCATCATGCACTGCACACTCATGGCTAAGATGAACCGTGCACAGGTCCATAACCTCCCACCATGTGCTCTTACAGCAATCGTTCTCACTTTACTACCTGGAATACCTTCCTCCTCACTACTAACTCTTCAAGCCTCCGCTGAAACATTGCCTTCCTTGTACAGAAGCAGTTACTCTTTTTTCTGTGTTCCCTTACCAACAATGGATCTATCTGTGGGTTCATTTCAGTATAATTTATAGGCAAGCTTTGTTCTTTAAAGAGTAGGCATTTACTATGTGGCAAACTCAGCATCCTCTCCATTCTACTGCTCAGAATATCATATTTAACTATTAATTTGTCTGTCTCCTCTAGACTAAAGGAACCTTAGAAGCAGAGCATTTGGCTCTTCTACACCTTCAGTACCTAGTAGGCCTGGCATGTGGCAGTAAACTCTGGTCAACATTTCATAAGAGAAATATGAGGTGTGCAAGTCTCCTGGAATGAGGACCTGTGGACATTTAAATAATTCTCCAAGCAGAACTTCTATAGGGTAAAGGCCATTCAGCCTCTCCACCTCCTTTCAGAGTTAGGGTGACCTGAAGTATTGTTTCCTGGGCCTTTTCAGCACCATTCAGGCTCCTAACACTCCTTAGACCATAGGACTATGCTACTTGCACTTACCAGCGTTATAAGCCTCAGTATCTCAGGTCTGAGAAAGGGATTCTCTCCAGCATCCAAGAGAGTGAAGAGCAAAAATCGATTCCAAGGTTGGGAGGCCACATGGAGTGCTGTAGGAAACACCAGTCCCCAGGTGTTTAGTAGTGCTTTTCTAAAGGCTTGAGGGCACATGGCTGAAGAAGAGCTTCTCCTATTAGCTCAAAAGGAGAGCTGCCAGCTACGGGTAGGATATTGGATAGGCTGACCCCAGAAGGTTTCTTCCTTCCATAGGCTTCTACCACCTATGCTGGCTCAATGAACAATATACACCATGATTATGGGAGGCAGACAGAAGGAAGGGCTCTTGAACCTTGATAACCTGATCTGGACATAAAGGCTCCTGATTCCTAGTCTGGAACTCTTTCTTTTCCTCTAATCTAAAATGAACTCTTAACAACTGAGCATGTCTAACCACTTCTCAAGTACCTGACTACATAGCCCATGGGTCAGCATGCCACAGTTAAGTAAGCTAGACCCTAGTGGCTCATGCCTATGATACTAGCTACTCAGAAAAATGAGATCTGAGAATCAATGTTCAAAGCCAACCTGGTCAGCCTCTTACCTCCAATTAACCAGCAAAAAGCCAGAAGTAGAGGTGAGGTTCAAGTGGTAAAGTGCCAGCCTTGAGCAGGAAAAGCTGTGTGAGATTGCAAGACCCTAAATTCAAGCTCCAGTAATGGCAAAAAAAAAAAAAGTAGTGTAAGTCTGAATCACACAGTGGATAGGAATGGAAGCCTGGGAGCAGTAAGGTGAGGGCTGGTTCCCTCCAATCTTCCTTATGGAAAGATCACAATGGGGAACACTTTACCTAAGTCTGGACTCCGGGCATTCAAGTAGTCAAGCAAGGCCTCCAGGCAGCCAACACAGGCTTGGGACAATAGAGGGTCCTTCTGTGAAACAAACAAATTAGTAGAAATTAGGGTCAATTTCACTAGCAGCAAGTTTTATTTTTTTTTTTTGGGTCCGGTCGTGGGCCTGAACTCTGGGCCTCAGCTCTTCAGCTCAAGGCTAGCGCTCTACCACTTGAGCCACAGCACCACTTCCGGCTTTTTTCTTTTTGCTTATGTGGTGCTGAGGAATTG